TCAAACAAGGCTGCTCGTATATAGGGGCAAATCCTGAATGTTCTGACTGTCCCTGATTTCATATCGAACAGTTATGGGAAACGAAATTTTTGAAAACCTATTCAGTTTGCCTCAATTCAATTTGGAACGATTTTGTTGTGCGGGATAATCCGCCTTGCATAAATAATTCGTCAATAACTCTTCAAAGCGCGCATAATTTAGTTCAGATTTTGGCCAATTTGGCAATTTTTCAAACCCCCAGAACTTTCTTTTACCTCCAAAAAAAATCGGAGGTAAAATATCTTTTTACATTTGAACTCGATATCGGAAAAGATCGATATCTTCAATGGGGCATAAAATTTTTTTCGAAAACTTAAATTTCGATTGGCAAAAATTGACTGAATAAAAAAAACCATACCGAGCATAAATATTCCGTTTTCGAAAGTCGGAACAAAAATAACAAGCCCTAAAGCAAACAAAGCTGCTCGTATTAGGGCGAAGCCTCGAATTTTCCAACTGCTCTTTAAGGCTTTTTGAGCAGTAATAACATGAAAAAAAATTAAATGTATTAAAAAGAAATTAAATTTTTTAAAGCTAAATGAGATTTTTGTGAAAATCATCCCCCACACGCCATATTAAGTACAAAGTGATTGTTTTCGCTCCCATTACAAATCAATTTGGCAAATAAGCTTCATTTAACCAATTTGGAACGATTCCTAAGACTGATTAAGTATCCGCTTACACCCTAAGCGCGCGAAATATATCGTGCGTTAATTGCCCCAAATTGGCGAAAATTGCAATCTTTAAACCCCTCTTAAGTTCGCCAAAAATGATCACAAATGAAATATCTTTTCAAATATAAGCTCAGGACAACATAAATTTTGATTTTTTTTTAAAGTTCCCGTCAAAATGGCTAGTTAAAAAGTCGAAATTTGTCTGAAGAAATAACCCATCCCGAGCAGAAATATTCAGTTACTTTTGTTACGAAATTCGGAAAAAAACAGTGATTTTGGAGGCAGTGTAGACGACAACAAGTTGAATTTTATCTTTCCTTTGTTATTCCAAAAAATCTCTCCAAAGTTGTAAGTAAGAAAAATCGGAATTTGTCGGGGAGTGTCCATAATTGGTCACTTTCTTCAAAACTCGAAACAACAAGATAACATAGAACCATGTAGAAATTCAGAAGAGAAAGGGTAGAGCTAATTCAGGCAAAAAAAATTCAATAGTAGAAACTCGTAGAAGAGGCTTTGATCGGATTATTTTTTTTATTTTTAATCTTAGCGAATTGAATCGAATGCGTCTCACGCGGAAATGGTATGCTAGGCGGGGGGTTTGACGAGGTATTCTTCCATTTCATTGCATATCAAATTAGATGAAAAGCATGGTTTTTTCTGTTCTCCCAATTAGTTTCTGATCATTCTTTCATTTCAAAGACGTTTATATCAGCGAAGGTGATAAAAAAACGGGTTCATTGATGTTTACTGGAAGCGAAAACAGTGGGATGTCTTTTTCTCTCTTCTGATTGTAAAAAGGACTATACATTTGAGACCAATGCATTGATTAAATTCCTGTTACCACAAACGCACAGCCTCCATAATTCCGCAACGGGTATAAAATGACACGAAATGCTTCGTCGTTGCAACCTACTAGCAGGAATTTGACAGAAATTATGAAAAATTAATGCGTTTTCCCAACACAGTTTAGTAAATTGGAAACCTCAAAGGTCTTTCGGCGCCTGGTTCATCATTTATTTACCGTTAAGTTATACCTCATGCAAAACAAACGTATTTAATCAAACTGTCTTTTTCCTCACAAATCACTTTTTATTCTGTGAATTGTTCCCGTTTTGTATCTACTACCGTTGGGTAAATTCAACCAATCATGGTAGAAAAATTGTGCCTGGGCCATTGGCGATGAAATTTATGGTAGTATGTTTCAACAAAAAACGCTAAATACAAATGATGATGATATCCACCTTTTCTTTTTTATTTTGCTAGTTACGATTTAAAAGTAATATGGCAAAACTAAGCATACCCGAGCGTGTTTAAATACGTAAATCAGTTGCTTTATTTTTCTGTCCTTAAGAATATTTAAAAGCTTTTCCTCTCGGCTTAGCGCTTTTTGATTTGAAAATTCGCGTTATTTGAACCGAATTAATCTTCTTGTTTTTTTTTGATTTTTGCACCTAAATACAATATATTATTTGTACTCATTGCGTGCTTTGTAAACTGTTATTTTTCCTGCGATGAAACCTCCACACCTTTTTACATTGTGACGCTCTTCGGGCCATAAATTCGCAATTAGGCTGGCACAAAACTGCAGTCAGGCTGCTGCTTAGATTTTCACATTCTGTTTCCGATTATAATTCTCTTATTTACCTACTCATTTTTTTATTGGTACTCCGAATGTACTGATTGACTGACTTGTAGTGCATTACTAATTTTCGTCTGGCCTAGCTGGGAATTAAAAGATGGCTGACAGTATAATCACCTTGCGCCTAGTATTTTTCGGGAGCTCAAAGGTAGGTTCAATTTTTCATTTTTTCATCGATGGCTATATTTCAGCAAAAAATATATTTTCTACTGTTTTCGAGAGGCTTGCTACATTATTTGTAATATTGTCATTATGTAAAGGCAACTAAATAAAATGTATTGCTGTTCTGTGTTTTTGATACGCAGCTAGGTTTTCCTCTCTGACGCTCACTGGAATAGCGCCAAAAAGACATTTTAGTGGTGGTGGCAGCACCCACAGAACACTGTAGGGACCCTGTTTTGCCAATATCTTCGGCGACGACAGAACTTTTTTTGAAAGAATAACAGGCAAAAACTGCGATCGTTGGCAGTTTTTGTTAGGTTTTCAAAGAAAACATGTTTCCAAAATTTTTCTCGCGCTCTCAAAATTACTATCTATCAGTATAAGCCAATTTACTACTGTCTCGCTGCTAGCAGTTTAAATTCCTAATTGAAGAACCAACATTTTTACTAGAAAAAACGCAATTGGAAGACAGCCTTAATAGCAGCGAGTCTGCACCAGTATGGACAAAATTAAGTTTTTTCAGTCACAAGAAGTTTCAGCTTAAACTCACTGGATATTGTCCAGAAGCATTTGGAGGAAATTGAGGGGTTCCAGCTAATTTATTGAGCTAAAAGATAACTGCAGTGTTGGGCTGTTTACTCAAATCCCAGTTCAATTTTTGGGTTTAAGAACCAGCGTAACAATAGCTGTGCCAATATAAAGGACTGCCATGACCAAACTTTTCATAGCAGAATTTTTTTTGAGAATTTCTTTTTCTTCTACTCAGCTTTTTTTTGAAAACAGAAATTGCAAAATAACTATGATTTCACATGAAGAGTAATCAACGTAATCACTCAACTCATTTTTTTAGTAAATGAAACTATTCAAGATGTTCACACCATGCTGGTTGGTTTAATCGGAAAGCATTTTAAAACCAAAACGATTCGTCCAAAAAACTTATAACCTGACAAACCACATGAGCTCATGCCGTAGCTTTTAAGGTAACGGACACCGCGTGAAACACTCAGCCTTAGGCCTTATGTCCATAAAGCCAAGGTTGATCTTAGCAACGAAACTATTCTATCAGAGTTAGACCTTAAACAACGCTACCATTTTCCTGTGCATTTTTTTTTTGGTTTTCAAGAGATAATTAAGATTTCTATTAATGGCTTCTCCCGTTTTTATTGATAAAAAATTTTGAATACATTGATGTTTGTTGTATACAATAATGTACCATTAATCGCTTGAATTCATATTTTTTGGCAAGGTCGGAATCTGGGGTTTTCTCTGAGGGAGAGGGAGCGGATTTTTCGAAAATAAGTAGCAGAAATTGATTTAAAAAAACTAATAAAAAATAATCAAAAAAAAAATATTTCACTTCTTTTTGGATATATATTAAAGCTAAACTCGATAAACGGATCATCCTTCAAATTAGAGCAAAAGTAGTTTTTCATCAGTTTCATACTGGAGAAGGAGCGTTCGGCAGTGCAAATTGTTACTTGGGGTTGCTCCAATTTAGCCCCGGGGTACACAACTGGCATTGTAGAATTGTGAGAGATTTTAAAGTCATCAGTGAAATTTTTTTGCATACCGCTGTAACGGGGAAGCACCACATGTTCCTCCAGCTAATGAGATTCGTGTCAAGATAATGTCTGCAAGTGTTGTTGCCTTGGGGTTGACTGTGTCAGCAAAGCCTAGCCTATGAATTCCTTTTGAAACTAAATTCGGTGACATCCCAGTACCGGAAAGAGATTGAGACCTCTTGAGATATCAGAAGTTTCGTCAGCAATCAGAGTGAAGTTTTTCGAAGCGGTGCCTTGAGATACGGTTCAATCCAGGATCATGACCCTATGATGTTAAGAGGCTAGTTCTGTGACTGGTAGCTAATATAGCTGGCATTCCGTCAGCACTTATCCAGATGTTGCGCCAGAACCTGGTCACCGCTTGCTGCCCGGAATTGAAGAAGGGCCTTGAAGCTTCCAGATGAGACATCAGTTGACTCTTTCGAGGCGAGGATTAGGGGAGTTCCTTCATCTCTGTGGCTCGTAAGGGGAGTCCAAATCATGCAGTGAAAATACTAGCGCTGATGCCCGGCACCAGAAACTATTGGTTTCTCTTTATTTCTTAGACAACAGCTCGGGAAAGGGAAACATCGAGGTGTCGCTCTGGATGGTTGTTTGAAACCAGGAAAGCCTACAATTTTTCCTAAGTTTTTTTTGCGAAAGGAGTGACAAGCTGAGAAAACTCTGGAGGGACTTGTTGAAGAACCACCAGCTTTCTTCATCTTCTCGATGTCAGCAAAGCAGAAACGGAAGCGACAGAAGAGGCCTTCTTGAACCAGTGAGTAGACCAGAAAAAAAACACTTCTCGAGTTGCTGAGCTCCAAGTAATCGCTTCTCTGTCCTCCCTTGCTTGGTAACAATTTCAAACGGCCTCTCTTGCAGTGGGGTTCTATTGCGGCTGCCTAGCAGAGCACACTTGACATCACGGTCAATCTCCATCGAGTTGAAGTGATGTCAAGACTTCTTTATCCAGGTAAGCTGAAGACTGCAAGGCTTTCTGAGAGAGCGGAGATATAGAACAAGCCGATGAAAGATTACCATCCTTTGTAGTCACCAAAGATGCCAGTGACTTTAGGAGCCTTGAAGGTCCAGGTTGTCAGGCTCAGGAGTAGTAGCACTAGATGAAGGTGGTGACATCTTGGGTCTTCTGGTGAAAAGGACTCGAAGGTCCTGAAACCCGAAGCCTGGGAGTTCTTGGGAGCAGCCTGCTTTGACATCCGGAATGTTGAAGTTGAAAATTGCACTCCAGTTCAGAGTGCAGTCTGAAGTCAGGTGAAGAAGATTTTAGTATGATAAAGGTAGTTTTGAACGGGTATATACACTGTGATTGAGGCACGTTGGCAGGTACTTGTTGGCATATACCTGCCTCGAGTCTGAGTATAGTCCAATTTGAGCCTTCAAATCCGGATTCAGATTCGCGCTTAAAAATTTTCACACCTCTAATGTTTTCACCCCTCTACTAAATCGGAGTTGAAAAAAAAACAGAAGAGTAAACTCTTTGGGTTACGTCGAGAACAAGTTTTTGAGAGGTTGAGTCCGCCACACGCCGCCCCCTGAATCAGAGGGTGTTTCTTGGTATTTGTGACCGATTTAAACAAGAATTGTTGACTACTCCTGAGATGGCTATGTTCTCAAGTTCGATTTCGGGAATCACTTTTTTCAAAATAAACATTTTTGTTTTTAAATAGTGTGTCGGCCATCTGTTTTTTTTTGTTTTCTGACTATATCAAAACTTTTATTTTTTAAAGTATTTCTTGATTTACTCCTGTGATTTGTAGTTTTATTTTTCAAAATTTTGTATGAATTCGTTTTCTTTTCTGATAAATTTGTTTCAACTTCAGCAGCTTCGGCTTAAATTTTTAACCTAGTGACCCAATTTTTAGTTTTCCAGAGCTTTTCAGCTCGAATTTATATGAGAACAATTTTGTTTCCAATGAAGAGTTTTCCAAGTTTTTTGGCTTAGTCAACGCTTGATAAAATTTTCTGAGTGATTATTGAACGCCGGCACATACTCCTTATTGTGCGTTCCTCGGATTGAACATCATCCTGAAAAAACAATATCCTGAATAGTTTGTAATTGGATTTTGAACCTTTTTTTCGGTTTTTGGCTTTTGTTTCATTTTTTTAAGTTTTCAGTTTGCTTGTTCTTAAAGCTTTGGTGGTTTGGAATTGCAAATGGTGCCAAACTCCGCATCACCTCGGTCTTCTATATTGAAGAAGGAAGTATTTTTGGTCGAAACTCACGACAAAAATTGCAATAATTAGTCTCCAAAAATTGAAAGGTGTATCGTTCTTCACCCCACTCACAATGTTAAGCTCGAAAAGATGCAAATAATACCAACAATTGTTGATCTGTTTTGCATCTATGGGCACAATATTAGGTTCCAATAGCATGCCTCAACTCAATTCGGTAACCTGTCTGAGTGGGATCATCTAGGCTTTACTGCTACATGCTAAAAATTACTGTAACTGCTAAAATTCAGCACTGGTAAAAATTTTTACTATTTACTGAATGAATCAAAACTGGGGCTGTTCAGTTGTTAAAGCAAGCTTGACGTCACGATCGATCTCCAGTGAGTTGAAGTTCTAGGATCCTATGTTTCTGTATACTGGAGATTACAGGACTTGCAATCGAGGCTGGGCTCAGTCGAGGCCTCAATCGAAGCTGGGAGCAGGGGAACTCCGTCTTCTCCGTTAACTTTCAGTTTGCTAGTTCACGAAACTTTGTGTGGAATCGCAAGTTGTGCGAAACTCCGCTTAGCCTCCGTGTTTTAATATTGCAGAAGGAACAGAGCCATAACTTACGACCAAAAAACTTAAATAACAATCTCAAAAAAATTTGAATGGTTTCCGCCGTTCTTCACCCTACTCCCGATGTTAAGCTTTGAAAAAATGCGAATCATACCAACCGTTGTTGGTATATTTTGCAGCTTTGGAGTTAATATTAGAATTTATTAGCGTGCCTCAACTCAATTTGCTAAGTTGGAAAATTTATACTTTTCAATTGTAACAAATTGGTCAAATAGTGCTAAACTTTAAACCTCGTAGTTTCAAAAAAATCATTTAAGTTACAATGTTTTTTTTATCTTTGAGCGCCGGTCATCAATATAGTTTTGAGCGCCGGATGATAATCCATATTGTTTTTTTAAGGATTCAATTGCGACACGGATAAACGATCAAAACAAAAAAACACACTAAGGAAAGCGAGTTTTTTGGAACAAGTATTTTGTCCGTAAACATTTTTTTTTCTAACTTTTGTCTTTGAAATTGAAGTTTGGTGTCCAGCGTTTTACCGCCACCCTTCCATTGCGCGAATTCAGTCTACTTTTAACCAGCCATAGCTAGTTTTTACCGTTTGCTCATGTCCCGGCAAATGACAACCTCGCAAAAATAACGCTTATTTTCCATCGAGGTTTCCCCATTTTAACTTGCTTTTCAAGCTAGC